TAGTAAACGCGATATTATTTTGTTTTTTAACATTGAACTACGTATAATATTCAGTAGCGTGACAAGCCTGACAATTTACTCCTGTTTTGCTAACAATTATTTTGATGTTCATTTACTGTGGAAACAATGACTTTCTAAAGAAATGAATAATTATACAAATAATTGACGTTGAAATTTCCATGTAGCAGAACTAAATCGTCAGGCCGGCTACGCAACTTCCAGATTAAATATTAAAGACAAAATCAAAGACCATAGTCTCTATATATAGTTGCTTTACTTTCACTTCAATGTGCAGTCAGTTACTACATGGACAGTCTTTATACAGCCCATCATCCTTTCGTCATCCTGTTTAACTATTACGAAGGCCAGTAATGCGGGGGTTAAGATTCCAGAATGTGTAGGAGGAGTTGAGGCAAACGTTTTAGGAAGTTCAAATTAATTTATTACATCTTATTTTATTGATCATGCAAGTATATCTGTAAACACATTGTAATTCCCCCTTTTGGTAAAATCTTAATCGTCGGAAAACTAAATGAAATTATAGCACTAACTTAATATTTGTATGAAACTTATTAAGATTATGGACACCAATTTAAACCGCCCACGTTGTCATAAACTTTATTGCAAAATCATACAAGATTCTCTCTTTTTTAATCAGAAATCTATCATAATCGAACAAAAAACACTACAAAGAGAATCTTAGTAAAAGCGATATTATTTTATTTTTTAACATTGAACTACGTATAATATTCAGTAGCGTGACAAGCCTGACAATTTACTCCTGTTTTGCTAACAATTATTTTGGTGTTCATTTCCTGTGGAAACATTAATGACTTTCTAAAGAAATGAATAATTACACAAAAATTGACCTTGAAATTTCCATGTAGCAGAACTAAATCTTCAGGCCGGCTAAGCAACTTCCAGATTAAATATTAAAGACAAATCAAATGCCATAGTCTCTATATATAGTTGCTTTACTTTCACTTCAATGTGCAGTCAGTTACTACATGTACAGTCTTTATACAGCCCATCATCCTTTCGTCATCCTGTTTAACTATTACGAAGGCTAGTACTGCGGAGGTTAAGATTCCGGAATGTGTAGGAGGAGTTGAGGTAAACATTTTAGGAATTTCTAATTAATTTATTACATCTTATTTTATTGATCAAGGATATCTATAAACACAATGTAATTCACCTTTTTTGGTGAAATGTTAATCGTCGGAAAACTAAATGCAATTATAGCAGTAACTTAAAAATTGATAAAAATTGATTATGGATATGGAAATAAATGCAAACTTCTTACATTCTCATAGAATTTACCGCTAAATCGTACAAGGTTTGCTTTATTGTACTAAGAAATCTATTACACTATAATAATAATAAAGAACTAATAATAACAAAAGTAAGAGAATTTTAGTAAACGCGATATTATTTATTTCTTAATATTAAAATACGTAACATTCAAAGCCTGACAATTTAGTCTCGCTTTGCTTACAATTACATGTTCATTGACTGTGGACACTATGAATTTCAAAAGAAATGAATGATTATAAAGAGTTCAAATTTACATAGCAGAGCTAAATGGCAAAGGTGCCTTTCTGTACGTTTGAAAGAGCATTCTACTATATAGGCTCTCTTCTAGTGCAGTAGGCCAACATTTCTCTGAGTGTGAGCATGCTCAATTCTTAGCCACACTACAAAACCAGTTCTCACTACTGAACGATATACCATTATCTTTGAATAACTCTTCTCCTATTGAGAACTTAGTTTTCAATAACTATAGAATTCTTCACATAACTAAATCGAATAACTATCATATTCTCGCATTTCTTGAAGCACTCTTAATCAAACACAGCAAAGTGAACAACCCTTTCCTTAACACCGGACTTAAAGCCAGCAAAGAACTACAACTGGTCACTTAATCTCTCTATATTTTAATTGTCGGGTCTTTCGTTTCTTTCCTTAAATTAATCTATCAAACATATTGTTGTAAATATAGCATACATATTTAGTTTTATTCACAACCTTATCATGTTTCGCTCTGCTTGGTTTACCGGCCTTCCGCCTACATGCTGGATTGACACGTGCGCTCTCTCTCTGTGTTGTATATATACGCGTTGTAAAGTATTGTATTTCATTCTGTCTGAAGATGATTTTGTAATAAAGTCGAAAATTTACAGTCTCAATCTGTGCCTTGTTTGAGTTATATTTTGATTCTCAAGATGCCTTTTTTGTTCGGAATTTGCTTTTTACTTTACTTTTTTAAATTGTCGGCTGGTCATGGTTTTTGCAGTTCATAGCTTTACTTTAATATGCACTCAGTAACTCGTATAGTCTTAATAAAGTCTTCCTTTCCTTCCTTTCATCCTGTTAAACTATTATCATGCACGGCTAGTATTGCGGGGGGTGAGGTTCCAGAAAGAGTAGGGGTTCAGACGGAGGAAACTGGTTGTGTTGTGGTGAAGGAAAGTCTCCTTCCTGGCTGTAATCAGGAGGAGGGGGGTATTGCAGACTGGCGGTCGTGCAGCGCTGGTATGACCTTCAACGGCAACAATAGCAATTTCGTTCTGGGGAGCAGGTTGTCTCACGACCCGTCCACGTTGGGATGAGCCACGGAAACAACGATATCGATATACGATAATCCCGCCAAATACGGCAAAGAACAGTACCACGCCTACCACGATCACTGGAAAAACCCAGGATGCAGTTGCAGAGGAATAAGTTCTTTTACATTTGTTGGAATGACATCTCTCCCCAGGCCCTCCACAATCACTGTCCAAGAAGCATGTCTTCCCAACACAACTTTTTCGACAAATGCTAGAAAAGTAGCTTCTTCGCTTAGACAAGATTCACTCCCACTACAATCACCGTCTGTAAAACAGGAGGTGGGCACGACACATTTATTGCTAATCGAATCACAAATTTCTCCACGCCCTCCACAATCACTGTCGTAAGAGCATTTTTCTCCAACACAATTTTTTCTACAAACGTTAGAGTAGAAGACTCCTCGCCTGCAACAATACTCCGAACTAGAGCATCCAGAATTCGATGAACACCGCGTGCAGCCTGAGGTGACGCATTTGCTATTAAGACAACATTCACTCCCACTACAATCACCGTCTGTAGAACAGGAGGTAGGCACGACACATTTATTGCTACTCGAATCACAACTCTCTCCAGGACCACCACAATCGCTGTTCTAAGAGCATTTTTCACCAACACAATTTTTTCGACAAACGTTAACGTAGCTTCCTCGCTTACAACAATACTCCGAACCAGAGCATCCAGAATTCGATGAACACGGGGTGCAGCCTGAGGTGACGCATTTACTATTAAGACAACATTCACTCCCACTACAATGACTATCTGTAGAACACTCGACACATTTTTTACTGGAGCTACAATACTCTGACGAACCCCCGCAGTCTGAACTGGAAAGGCATGTCTCCCCAACGCAGCTTCGTCTGCAAACATGTTTATCGAAATAATATCGTTGTTTACAACAATATTCTAAGAAACTGCAGTCAGAATTAGAATAATGTCAGAATTAAAATAACCGTCTGCCAAGCAATAGTGACCGACGCATGAAATATTTCCGTAGTAGCATTTTCTACTGCTTCCCAAACCATATCCTCTACAGCAAACGCTGTTTCTGTAATAGCTGCTTCCACACTCAGAATTTGAAGTGCACGCTGTTTGGCCTGAAACCAGGCTAAACTTTCCCATTATTATCGCATTCGAAAGCAAAAGTAAAAGAATATAGACGAACGACATTTTGTATGTGTCAATCATAAAACGGTGTGAGACAAAACACTTCTTTGTCAGCGTACATGAGGAAGTCGTTGGGGGCTATTGTGACAGCACTGACCGTTACGACCACCCACTACCAATTCTTCGTAATGCTATGACCAGAGTTCTGTAAAATATTTCTACATTCATACAAGAAGCCGGCTAAAGCGTGGCCTCCACGTACTAGCATTTGGTCGCAACTGTAGTGATCACATCAAAGTGATGCAAACTATCTCACACTTATCTAAATTACGTACATTCTCGACTGCAACTATATATGAAAAGAGGTCATGAAATCGGGTTTATAAAGATGAAGGCTCTTGTATACTTTAACCAACACTTTATAGGATACAACATAATTGCAAAAAGCTAATAGAATTCTTACATCTAACTTAGACTCGCCAAACCGCATTATAGGCAAAGAAATGCTAATGAGTAATAATAAATGTACAATCGCTGTATTAATAATACGGTAAACATTTTACGAGATCTAATTTATCTATTTCATCTTATTTTATTGGTTAGCTATGTATATCTGTAAACGCATGGTAATTCACCTTTTTTGTGAAATGTTCATCGTCAGTAACTAAATTAAATTATAGCACTAATCGGAAAATTACAACATTATCTATGTCCCAGTCTTGTCTCCCAAGAGTTGTGGTGCACAGGTTTGGCTAATTTTCGGATGCGCGCGATGTCATTTCGCTCGCATGACACGGCAATTCTTCCAAGAGGAACAAATAAACCGTTCTTTTGATGCTGTTCGATTAGGTTTAGATTGAATTGGGGTAAGAATATATTTAATACATGTAGATCCTGGTCCTATTTTAATAGTATCGCTGCTATTTCGCCTTTTAACAAGATGTGGTCGTGTATGGGCGCGTTGACACGTCGCAGTTTGCATAGGATTGAAGATTTAATATAACTATATGAGCACGAATTCCAAAGGCAAAGTGTAAGGCAAAGTGAACGTATCATCGCGGTTTATTTACACTATTGAACAATTGAACTTCTATACATTTTAAAGTACGACGTGCTTCTGAATGTCGCGATCGAACAACATTTAGGTTCGCAAGGCATCTAAATGAGTATGAACTGTATTGTTTATGCTCAGAAGCTTTATATTGAAGACTGGCACGTGCGCGGCACGCCGGAGTTAACGCCCGAACAGGCGTCTAGTTACGATTATGGAAATTAATTTAAACCGCTGACGTTGTCATAAAATTTAATGCTAAATTATACAAGATTTGCTTCTTTGTATGCAGAAATCTATTTAAGTCGAACAAAAAACACTACAAAGCGAACTAATAGTAATGATGACAAACTAGAAGAATCTTAGTAAACGCGATATTATTTTATTTCTTAACATTGAACTATACGTATAATATTCACTAGCGTAGCCAGCCTGACAATTCACTCCTGCTTTGCTAACGATTATTTTGGTGTTCATTGACTGTGGAAACAATGAATTTCTAAAGAATCGATCATCCTAAGAGGTGAAATTTGCATAGCAGAACTAAGACCCCATTCACACTATACCGGATTTACATGACATCAGTCACGACATCAGTTTAAGTTGTTTTACTGTATCTCTGTCCCCAGAACGTTTTTCATATAGCAGATCAAGTTAAAGCAATCATGCCATCATACTTTTGGCGATAAAACTCGCTCTGACATGGCTAATTTTGATGTCGTGACGATGCGAATTCGAAATAGCATAAACAGGGCAAGTAAATGTCAGACTGGTACGCCCACTGCTATACTTAGCTATAGAGATTAAATATTAATGACGAAATCATGCAGAGGCCAAATACAAAGGCCTGGTATAGTTTCTAAATACAGTTTCTACTTTACTTTAATCACAGTGCTTTAGTATGCTATCTAACTCGTATATATAGTCTGAATAAAGCCTTCCTTCCGTCAAACTGTTAAACAATTACCACGGCTAGTACTTCGGGGGAGGCGGGGGAAACTGGTTGGGCTGCGAAGATGGACAGTATCCTCCCTGGTTGTAGTAAGGAGGAGGGGGAGCATTGCAGACTGGCGGTGGTGGAGCGCTGGTTTGAACTTGAGTATTTTCGACAGCAACAATGGCAATTGCGTTCTGGGGAACCCGTTGTCTCACGACCCGTCCACGTTGGGATGAGCCACGGTAACAACGATATGCGGGAATCACAGCAAACACGATAATGAACAGTATCACACCTACCACGATCACCGGGACAACCCAGGATGCAGTTGTTGTTGACGATTTCTTACATTTGTAGGAACGACAACTCTCTCCTGGCCCTCCACAATCACTGTCCGAGTAGCATGTCTCCCCGACACAACTGCTTTGACAAACATTAGTGTAGATTCCTCGCTTACAACAATACGTCGAACCGGAGCATCCTAAATTCGATGAACACGTTGTTGTTGACGATTTCTTACATTTGTAGAAACGACAACTCTCCCCTGGCCCTCCACAATCACTGTCGTAAGAGCACGTCTCCCCAACACAGCTGCTTTGACAAACATTAGTGTAGCTTCCTCGCTTACAACAATACGTCGAACCGGAGCATCCAGAATTCGATGAACACGGCAAGGCACATTTTTTGTTCGAGTTACAATACTCTGACAAACCACCGCAGTCTGAATTGGAATGGCATGTCTCCCCAACGCAGCTTCGTCTGCAAACATGTTTATCGTAATAATATCGCTGTTTACAACAATACTCGAATAAAGCGCAGTTGTAATTAGAGTTACAATTGCTACAGCCTGACGTGGTACACTTGTTTGATTTACAGCATTCGTTTTTGCCTCCGCAATCACCGTCTGTTGTGCAATAGCGACCGACGCAATTACTTCCATAGCGGCATTTGCTACTAGTATATCCATATCCTTGATGGACATATCCTTTACAGCAAATGGAATAGCTGCTCACACAATTAGAATTTGAAGTGCACGTGGTTTGGCCTAAAACCAGGCCAAACTGTCCCATATACATCGCATTTAAAAGGAAAAGAAAAGTCATAGAGACGAACGACATCTTGTCTGTTAAAAAACTCCTCGTTACTTGGCAACTTAATCAAGAATTAATAAAATATTTATCATTTTCTTGGAAGGGGAAGACGCGGAAAACAAAGTGATGCAGCGATACCCATGCTAGGACAATAATGAAAATACGCGGGCCGATATTATTACCAAGAAACAATTAAAACCCTGCTCAAGAATCGCGAAACCAAGTCAACAAACTTGGTCGCACGAACAACGCCGACACAGCCCTGGAATCCATTAGTCATTAGTAATGGACAGGTAAAGCAGGCAACATGCTGTTACAGAGATGCATGTAAAAAAGAAAATTAAAATTATATAACAAACAACGGGCAGAGACTATGTTTAAAGCTTTGTATACCAAGTGTTATAAGACAAACCACAGCAAAAAAATGTATATTTCTAATATTTCTTGACTAAGAGTAACAGCTTTGTAAGCAAGGGATTTAGCCTGCTAACGTTAAACCTAAGCACAAGGCATTCGCATAAATTATTCGGAGCGTTTGCTACCGGCTACAGGTCGTCGGCACATTGTGGGAATTCGAAGATTTTCGAGGAGAAAAATAAAGTCGTGTTTTTCTATTCCAAATTCTGCTTTACATTCGGCTTTATTCATTTCGTTAAGACAGAATTTTTGGTCTCACCTTCTTCGAAAAGCACGAGACAAAATTCTCTTAACGTTTTGAACGGTGAAGAAATTGACACCGATGCTTTATAGTGCACTACTGCGTAATGTTTTTAAAGTTCCGCGGGAACGGCGTACTCGGCCAAGGTTTTCTTGACGGGCTACGTCGTAGTTGTGGCGAAACGTTGTTTGTTTTCTTCTGCCGCACAAGAACACGATCTCCAACTCGCAGTTTACTTGATCGCGCACGCCTTCGAGAATCCGCATATCGTTTTCCTCTTTCCTTTTGTTCTTTGTCGTTGTGCTTGGCTTCTCTATGCCGATTGATAACCTTGCTGTTGTGGGGAAGTGTGGGCAATTTTTTACGAATTTCTCGGTTATACAGCAACTGAGCAGGTGGTACCTTTGTGGTCGAATGCGATGTAGGACGATACGCCATAAAGAAATTGAAGAGCTCTTGTTTCCAAGGTCGTCCTTCAAGGTTTGCTGTTCGAATAGCCTTGCCGAGTGGCTTCAACTTCAGCATTACCTTGAGGCCAAAGAGGGGTGGATGTAGTATGCTGAATTCTGATTTTGGTCATGTATTTGTTGAATTCCTGTCCTTAGAAAGGGGGGCCATTGTCTGAGACAACCTGCGAAGGAACGCCTTGACGGGCAAAAATTGCATCGAGGTTTGGGGTTACACTCTTAGCTGAGATCGAAGAAAACACTTCAAATTCCGGAAATCGAGAGTAGCAATCGAGGACTACTAGAATATACTGTCCGGTCGGTAGTGGTCCATAGAAATTGACCTTGAGTTTGTCCCAGGCTTTGCTTGGTAGCGGGGTGGACCGCAGAGGTTCCGGTTGGCTTGGTTGCCCCGTGCCTCAACCTAACGTGTTCCCATATTAACGCCATCGTCCGGGTCTGCCCTTGATGTCCTTTATGGGCCAGCTGGATGACATGTTGTATTGGTCTAAGGTTTCACTGGCATCTTGTCGTGCCTCGCGAAATTTGTACACCTCGTACGATCTGTGTATTCGTGAAATACTATACTGGAACAAAAACACTACAAAGCGAACTGTTAAGAGAATATTTTAGTTGCCGATAGTATCTATCCCTTAATATTGAACTATATAATATTAACCTATAAATTATAGACATTAATGACGAAATCTAACGCCGTAAAAGCCTGGTCTAGTCACTATAGTTCCTTCAAATCAGTATGCAATCAGTTACTCGTACATATCGGTCATTACCACGGTTAGTACTGCGGGGGTTGAAGTTCCGGGAAATGGAGGGTATGAGGCGGGGGAAACTGGTTGGGTTGTGGGGAAGGAAAGTCTCATCCCTGATTGTAATAAGGAGGAGGGGGAGCATTGCAGACTGGGGGTGGTGGAGCGCTGGTGTGAACTTGAGTTTTTTTAACGGCGACAATAGCAATTGCGTTCTGAGGAGCCCGTTGTCTTACGACCCGTCCACGTTGGGATGAGCCACGGAAATAACTATATGCGGGAATCCCGCCAAATACGGCAAAGAACAGTATCACACCCTACCACGATCACTGGGACAACCCAGGATGACGATTTCTAACATTTGTTGCAACAACTCTCCCAGACCCTCCACAGTCACTGTCGTAGGAGCACATCGCCCCAACACAGCTTTTTCGACAAACGTTAACGTAGCCTCCTCGCTTACAACAATTCTCCGAACTGGAGCATCCAGAATTCGATGAACACCGCGTACAGCCTGAGGTGACGCATTATTAAGACAACATTCATTCCCACTACAATCACCGTCTGTAAAACAGGAGGTAGGTACGATACATTCATTGCTAAATGAATTACAACTGTCTCCAGGCCTTCCGCAATCACTGTCGCAGGAGCTTTTTCTCCAACACAATTTTTTCTACAAACGTTAGAGTAAAAGACTCCTCGCTTGCAACAATACTCCGAACTAGAGCATTCAAAATTCGATGAACACCGCGTGCAGAGTTTTGGTTACAGTGGGGCTGCGCTATGGAATAGTCTACCAAAGCAAGCAAAGGAAACAAAATCTTTAGGTATCTTTAAAAATATGATAAAATAATGTAACTACTGAGTCAGACATCGATTATTCCTAGTTTTTACCTTCTTTAATACTTATATTGCATGTTTATTCGTTTATATTATAATACTATTTTTAATACTTGTACATAGGTATTTTTAATCTATTGTAATTGTGTGACGCCTCTCACGAAAACCATCGACAGATGATGAGGGTAGCGTGGTTAAATAAAGTTTTTTACACGCTGGTTGACAGCTTAATTCCAAGAAAAAAGTATATCATATTTCAGGATTAGGAACGAGAGGAAGTCGTTGGAAGCGATTGCGACAGCACTGGCAGTTTGGTTCATTATTCCACAGTTAATAGAATATAAATGGTTTGGAGACTACATAAAAGTACAATAGAACTCATTAACTATGTCGGGGAACATTTATGCAAAAAATCGCTCCTTATTCGTCACGTGTCTATTGTATTTTGAACAAATAAACCAATAGTAAGGTTTGAATTAACATTTAATCACGGTTGAGGAGCTAAGCCAAGCCATTGCTATTGCTATTGCTTAGTTGGGCAAAAATACAATAGACATGTGACGGATAAGGAACAATTTTTGGAATAAACCTGGACAATAACATAGATAATCAGTTGTATTGTACTTTCATCTAGTCTCCAAACCATGTATATTCTAATAGCTGTGATTATTCCTACATTCATAGGGAGGTTGAAGCCAGGCCTCCATGTACTATCAGGCGTAGCAACTGTATATAGTGATCACAAAGTGACGCAAACTATTTAAGACTTTGTAAATGACATATATTCGACTCATTGGGAAGGAGATTATGCATTGAATCGGACTTATAAAGAGAGTATTTTGTATATTCTTATAAATAGATTATCTACATTCACCTACAATGAAAAAATGTGGGAAAACAGTTTGGAATGCCACTATCGTTCTCCCGGCTGAAAACGAGTGTCAGAATTTTGGTCTCTTTTATATTCACTAATAAAAAAATTTGAAACAAGACGTTCGTCGCGTGTTTACACGATCACATGTACATACATTAGGGCATGGGTGAAATATAGACAGACATCTATTTCTGGTGTAAGTGTCCCAATTCGACAATCTTTCTAGCTGTTTATTGCGTAATATTTTCATTAGGTCATATTGCTTTTATATCCCATAATATGTCACCTTTTTCACACAAATGCCATGGAATTTGCGGTTTAAAAAACTTATCTTATATTGATTACCTGTATCTGTAAACACATTGCAATTCACCTTTTGGTGAAATGTTAATTGTCGATAAACTATAACTAAAAAATGAACTATAGCACATACCAACTTTAAAAAATGTGGAATTCTCTACGACTACGCAGCAATAGAAAATAATGCTTCTCTATATGATTATTATAATATTCTCTTGTGGTTTGCATTTGTAAGAAGTTCTAATTATCATTATGTTCATAAGCTGAGCAGCAAATAAGTGTGGTCCTCGGAAGGTAAAGCGTACACCTTAAGCAACACTATAGAGGATGTGACATAATTGCAAGAAACCAATGCGCGATCGAACAACATTTAGGTTCGCAAGGCATCTAAATGAACATGAACTGTACTGTGAATGTCCAGAAGCTTTATATTGCACGAGGACTGGCACGTGCGCGGCACGCCGGAGTTAACACCCGAACAGGCGTCTTGTAACGATTATGGAAATTAATTTAAACCGCCCACGTTGTGATAAAATTTACTGCTAAATCATACAAGATTCGCTTTTTTGTATGCAGAAATCTATTTTATTCGAACAAAAAACACTACAAAGCGAACTAATAATGACAAAACTAAAAGAATCTTAGCAAACGCGATATTATTTTATTTCTTAACATTGAACTACGTATAATATTCTATAGCGTGACAAGCCTGACAATTCACTCCTGCTTTGCTAACAATCAATTTGGTGTTCATTGACTGTGGAAACAATTAATTTCTAAAGAAATCAATTATCCTAAAGAGTTGAAATTTGCATAGCAGAAAATAGCAGTTGTTTTACGGTATCTCTGTCCCCAGAACATTTATCATTTGGCCGATCAAGTTAAAGCAATCATGTTATCATACTTTTGGGGATAAAACTCGCTCTGACATGGCTAATTTTGATGTCGTGACGATGCAAATTCGAAATTGAAACAGGGCAAGTAAATGTCAGACTGGTACGCCCACTGCTATACTTAGCTATAGAGATTAAATATTAATGACGAAATCATGCAGAGGCCAAATACAAAGGCCTGGTATGGTCCCTAAATACAGTTCCTACTTTACTTTAATCACAGTGCTTTAATATGCAATCAGTAACTCGTATATATAGTTTTAAAAAAGCCTTCCTTCCGTCAAACTGTTAAACTATTACCACGGCTAGTACTTCGGGGGAGGCGGGGGAAACTGGTTGGGTTGCGAGGATGGAAAGTTTCCTCCCTGGTTGTAGTAAGGAGGAGGGGGAGCATTGCAGACTGGCGGTGGCGGAGCGCTGGTTTGAACTTGAGTATTTTCAACAGCAACAATAGCAATTGCGTTCTGAGGAGCCCGTTGTCTCACGACCCGTCCACGTTGGGATGAGCCACGGAAACAACGATATGCGGGAATCCCGCCAAATACGACAAAGAACAGTATCACGCTTACCACGATCACTGGGACAACCCAGGATGCAGTTGTTGTTGACGATTTCTTACATTTGTTGGAACGACAACTCTCCCCTGGCCCTCCACAATCACTGTTCGAGTAGCATGTCTCCCCAACACAGCTGCTTTGACAAACATTAGTGTAGATTCCTCGCTTACAACAATACGTCGAACCGGAGCATCCTAAATTCGATGAACACGTTGTTGTTGACGATTTCGTACATTTGTAGGAACGACAACTCTCCCCTGGCCCTCCACAATCACTGTTCGAGTAGCATGTCTCCCCAACACAGCTGCTTTGACAAACATTAGTGTAGATTCCTCGCTTACAACAATACGTCGAACCGGAGCATCCTAAATTCGATGAACACGTTGTTGTTGACGATTTCGTACATTTGTAGGAACGACAACTCTCCCC